GAACACGAATCATATAAATTCAATATTTAGTGAACAACATGAAACAACAATCTTTACTAAATAATCCAATACTAAATAACGTTTAATTTAAAAAATATACTAAGAATATAAATAACCGAAAAGAATGATATAAAATTAAAAGTATTACTATAAACTCAAATCATACAAATTTAATAGTCAATTTTATTTTTTCCATAATCAATAAAAAAAAGCATAACTTGCAAAAAATCTAATTTAATAAAGAAAATATGATTAACATGTAAAATATATGAGATTAAATTCAAGTTATTGGGCAACTTAGATATTACGAAATATATTAAAAAAATATGTTTAACATTTAAAATATACAAGATTAAATTCATATACAAACATGAATCATACAAATTTAATATTTAGTGAACAACACAAAATAACAATATTTACTAAATAATCCAAATCAAAATATCCAAGAAAAATGATACAAAATTACAAGCGAGAGAAACAATACAAAATTATAAGCAATACTATAAACACGAATCATACAAATTCAATATTTAGTGAACAACACGAAATAACAATTTTTACTAAATAATTTAATACTAAATAACGTTTAGTTTAAAAATATAAATAACAGATAAGAATGATATAAAATTAAAAACACTATTATAATTTCGAATCATACAAATTCAACATTTAGGTCGTATCTTTTGAAAAAAGGTAGAATTTTTGATAGTTATATTTGGTCATTTGACAACATCTACAGACTTAGTTTATTTGTGAGATTATTGTTTTAATTCTCATTCTATTAGTTATGAATTCTGTTATTATTTAAATAAAGTTGATTATGAATATTAAAATCGTAAATTTTAAATCAAAAACAGAACGTTGAATATTGTCAATTGATATAATTTTTCAGATGTCTGAATTATTATGTTTCAGTTATTATAACATAATTTTCGTGGTGTAACAATTAACATAATTTTGCTTGTAGGTTGATGGTATAAAAAATATTAGTGAACTCATTTTGTTCTTCGTTTACTGCAATGTTGTATTTTACTTTACATTTATGTATGAACAAATATTTGTAACTAATTTATGAGTAACATCGTGCCCTCAGGCACGGGCAATTGCTAGTTGAATATAAATTATAATTTTTTGTTTAAACTTAAATGATGGGGTTACTCTCACTCCAAATTCCCATTTCCACTCCATTTAATTTTTCATAATCAAACAACTAAATTCACCCTTTTTATACTCACCTTATTATTAACTAAGTCTACCACATGCAACATGCAAGTCTTTTAAAAAGAAAAGAACAAAATAAGGAAAAATAAAAAAGAAATAAAGAAGCAAACCAAAACAAAAAAGAAAAAAAAATCAAGCAAAGATTAAAAAACAAACAAAACTACAAAAATCACAAGACATAAAAGCGGACATGAAAAAAAAGTATCAAGCACACACACAAAATTGAACAAGAAAAAAAATAACAAGTATAGATGTAAAATCTAAACAAGATTAAAAAAAACAAACATATATAAATATATATATATATATATATATATATATATATATATATATACATACAAATTCTAAATAAAAAATTATTAAACTTGACAGAGATATCAAAACATACCGAAAATAATAAAAATTCATACAACAAACAGGGAATCAAATATAGAATTAAATTGATAAATAATACTAGCTTGTATCTCATTAGAAAAATTCATATTGAAAAAATACTTTTGTGAATACATGAAATTGAATAGAGAATAAAACCCTAATTATGACAAAGTAATGTGAGTTTACTTATTAAATGGAGTGTATGTAGTATAAAGTAGAATTAATTACTAATGAGGTGGATATAGAAAGAGTGGACTTAATAGTTTGACAATGAACAATTATATAGGACAAGAATAAAAATTTGTGGGGTGGGAATAGCCCCACCTAGACTTAAATTCGATTGAATTTTTACGAATATTTAAGTTGAGCTTAAATGGAAACTGAATTTAATTTTTCAACAAAATTTTTTACATTTACGAGAATTCATGTGAAACTTTTAAACGTTTTCCTCACAAAAGTTACACGAACTCATATTGAAAAAATGGTACAGAGATAATGCTATAAGCTTTAGGTAAAAACTTGCTGAAAAACAAATAGTTGTATTTTTTAAAAAATGAGATACAATTTATTAAAAATGTTGAAATTATTGATGTTTAATCAATAATAATTATGTTTTCAAAATTTTAAATTAATATATTGTAATAGTTGTAGTGTGACTTTCATTATATAAAAGTTTGATTATATATGTTCTACATATAAGTTAAATAATATCAATTTGATTTTTGTATTATTAAAATTGTATTATATATTACCTTTATTTATGAAAAAATATTTACAATTTTTACAAGTAATGTAGTGCCTTCAGACACGGACAATTACTAGTTATTTAATAAAAAACTAATATATATAATCATACCGGTTTCAATTGTACATAATCAATTTTATATTGACTCATTAATTAAAAGGAATTGGTGGATTGATCAAATTATGTTAACCTCGAACCCATAAAGAAAGACCTGATAAATTATGTAAAAAATTTTCAACCCGAGTCCCACCTCTATGTCAAATCAAGTTAGTGATCTCCACTGAAAGGAGTATAATACCACCAGCAGCACAAGTGCACAACCAAACACGACCTCGTTTTCTTCAACCATTATTCCAGGAATGACTGAGAGCCAATAATAAAGTGGAAAAAACTTTACACATAATCTTGTCTTGACCCTTCCCATATACAGTAGTATCAAAAATCACAATTTCCAATCATTTTAGACATTGAAAGCAACCATACAAATCCCAACCGAAATAAATATTGATTGAAAGTAATAAATATAGTACACAAAACAAGTTGGAAGTCTGAACAGTTGTAATGATCGAATGGGCCATACATTTTGTACCCCAGGTTTTTCACCCCCAAAAATGAGTATTTCATGCCTTTTTTTCCCTAATTAAAAGCATGCATTAGATTTATTTTCGTAATTATAATCCTATTTTTAGCAATGATCACATAGAGGAAATAGTTTTTATTATGGGAAAGGAAAAAAAATCAGAGATCACTAGGGAAAAAAAAGTAAGAGATCCAAACAACATTTTCAATGGATGCAAAGTTTAAATGTAATCTTCATCAGTTAAATAAAAAAAAACCAAAGATTATTGAATATCTTCAAATATTGAACTATTTTTTTTTTATTTTGCCAAAGGTCAGCCTTGTTCGAACGAGAGAGGAATATTTGCCGTACAAAGTAGGCAGTCAAAGGATTATCTTTATTTGTCCTTTGAGCGAAGTGAGCACCTCTGGGTATTGTAGCGTTTGTATTTTGTATGTATAGGATATGTATGGGCAGTCTGTCAAAACAGCATTGACTTTGTCATGCTATATTTTCTAGAGGACGGATCAATCCTGATATCAACAGGAAAAAAAAATAGAAAAGGGGACAAGCAATTTTTTGCGGGTTGGTTGAGGTGATTCTTCAGGTTTGGTGGAGGTGGTGGTTATAGTGGTGGCGGTGGTGCACATTTTCCCAATCCATGTTGCAAGAATATCTTGTCATTTGAGAATTGTAACAATCACAAGAAAGAGAAAAATACAATAGACTTGTACATATTGATGTCAAGTTTTTCACGCAAGGTGTAAAATGAGGGTGTATTTAACAGTGAATTTATTTCAATTTGGGTCCATTGAGATGGGCAAAGATCTTGTCACTGTCTTTCTTGTCTTCCATTTTCGGAGACTTCATCACTCTCATGTTACCCATCAAACCATAAGACCGGTCTGTTTCATTATATTTATCTTCCTTCTGCCCATATCTACCCCCTTCACCTTGGTTTCTGGATGTTTTTTTTAGGTCCAAACACATCCCCACCGTGTGCATCAGAGGATAACCTATTTTATAGGTCAAATATGCATTGGTTAAATGAATAATGATTGAACGAGGATCAAACAATTCATGTGGACGAGTTCAGAGAAGGGTCTTCTTGTTTAGGGTTTTCTACATAACATAAATCCTCCTATGGTCCATCAGGATTGAAGGTTCCATCAATTCGCTGCCATTGTAATGGTAGGGTTGTTAACTTGAAAGCAGCACCGGAACAATGTAACAGTGTTGTCACAATTGTATTAAGTACTATTATTTAAACCCAAAGAAAAAAAAACAGCAGCAAAATAATATGCATCTTATTATGAATAATGTAGCTATATATGTCCATGCATATCTTACTAATACATGTGATTAAGTTTAGAAGAAATGAGCATATCTAACTAACACAAGTGACTAAGTTTAAGAAGAAATGAACATATCTTGACAAGGAAAAAGAGTTAAAAAAAAATGCAAAAAAAACCTAGACAAATACTTAAAATCCCTTGTTTAGCTATTGAAAGTATGGTCTACAGTAATCAACTACCAATAGTTTATTTTATTTACATGGAAGCATAACACGCAATACTTAAAACAAAGCACTTGTTCAGCTAGTTCTTTAGGCCTTCAACTGATGCCAAGTACCAATTAAAGCCACAATCTTTCAATGGCCCACCACCAATCATAAAGTAGAAGTGAAATCACAATCTCTCAATGCCCCCATCAATCATAAACTAGAAGACTTTGTGGACAGTGGCTCACAACCGTAACCACTAAAAAGAATTCGAAGCACTATCAAGGAATTGGTAGCTATAACAAGTATCAAACCATAAAACATAGTTAAATGTAGTTACAGTCAACCCAAATTTATAGTTATCAAAGTTTTTAAGTAGTGCAATCTCCTTCATCACTTATGCTAACTTATCCGCCTCTAATCAGATATTGAGTAAGGAAAACAACAAATCTTATAATTTAAATCAGAACAATCACCAAAATCGTCCCAATCATTGATAAATACGCATAATTGCGATCAACAGACAAACAAAAGTAGTATGCATGAACACAGGGATAGACACACACACACACACACACACACACATATAATCATAATTACTTAGGTTTGTAACAAGGCACAACATCATAGCACTTACGAGCCAACTTGACACAATCCAGCCAATGCAGAATATCGATGTTTGGGTCCCTCTCAACGACAACATCTGAAACAGTAATTTGGACTGCACCTCTGTACGCGGTGATCCTGCCTCGCACTCTAGCTACGACACCCAGTTGTACCTCCGAGGCGAATTTAGCTGCTGCATTGGCAATTAATCGAACATCTGATGGGTTACGACGTGAAAAGTACTGAGAACTGAGTTGATTAAGCCAGAGGATACACGGAATGCAACCAGTGCCATCATCGACTGTGAATTTCAGGAATTTATTGGGTTTGTGCTCTCGGCAGGTGACAATGCCGAGGGTTTCGGCACGGGAGATGGACAAGCCTTTGCGAGAGAAAGAGAGTGGGTCTGAAGGGTTTGGTGTGAGAGTGATGAAGTCGAAGGCCAAGAGCTTTACGTGGGTGTGGTAGAGAGAATCCATATCGCTCTCGCTAGAAGAAAATCTATGGAGTCACATAGTATTAGTGGCGGTGGTCTCTGGTTTACAGGACCTTTGGTCTGGAGAGCTTTTCAGGGTTTTGGTTTCAATTTTGGCAGGAAATCGAAGAGTTGGGTTAGTGGGTTCATTTCGTTGACCAAAGGGCTGAGGCCCAATCTGGCCAGCCCAACTTTATATTTCTAATATTTACCCAGAGACAAAATATAAGACTAAATGACGTAATATTATCTTAATGACGTTATTAGTCTCATTTTTATCCATTTAAAATTTATATTTTTATATTATTATTATTATTATAATATTACATTAGTTAGTCCCTATTTTTTTATCTTATTTTTTTGTTAGTCTAACCTTACTCGAGACAAAAATGTAAGATAAATAAATGGATATAGGTGGAATATTTGGATGCATTTTTAATTAAATGGAGAGGGGAGGAAAGCACTCGAACAATAGCTAAAACTCTCAAATTTCAAACAAACAAAGCCACTGCCCAAGCCGAATTAGCAAAAAAAAAAACACTCTCAAACCTCACCCAAACAAAGCCCCCACTTTTAATTATTTAACAGGGAGTTGCCATTTTGGGGTGACAAATCATCCATTTGCAATCTTAAATAGTGTTTTAGCATCTCTAAATTACAAATTCGCTCCAATCGCAGGTGCCAAAATGGGATGCCATTTTTTAATTATATTATTAAAAAATATAATTAAACTTATACGCCAGAATCAAAAAAAAGTTTTCAATAAAAAGTTTTTTGTTGAATTTTTTAAAATGGAGCACATTGCTATTTTTTGTTTGATTAATGGTGTAATATGACAATAAAAAAAAAGTTAATATATAAATTAAGAATACAAAAAAATTTTAGGATACAAGGTGTCATTTGTCCTAAAATGAATAGTGTCAAAAATATCATCAACAACCAAAGAGGCAAATTGGGGGTAAATGATCATCAGACCCTACCCCCTTTTCCCCTTCCCCTTCTCCTTCCCTTTGCGATTAAGACTCTTCCCATTCTCTTTCCACTTCCTTTGCGCCTGTGCGTCTGTGCGCCTCCTTCTAACGATTGAAGAAAAATCAAGAACTGAGAGCTTACTCAGGAGCAGGAGCAAAGAGCCTCCTTTCAATGATTGAAGAAAAATCAAGAGCAAAAGTCAGGTAAATTTTCTTTTCAAAATCTCCATATTTGTAGAATTTTTTGGTTGAATAAAGCTGTTGAAATTGAACAGTAAAATTTACAACCTCTCTCTTTCTCTCTCTAAAGTTGCCAAAAAATGTCACTCCAAGACCTTTGATGCCATTTTGCAACCTTTGATGTCAACCCCATTGGAGTCCAAATTTTTGAATTTATGGTAACATTTTAGCGGCTATGGGAATGTCACCTCTGATGTCACTCCCCCTTAGAGTTGCTCTAAACTGCCCTCATAACTCTAGTCAATGATGCCACAATCGTTGGTTTTTTTTTATTTTTTTGAAAGACACAATCATCGATCATTGCATTCAATTTTGCTAAAAGTACAAGATTTCGATGTCTACCATAATTTCTTCAGACACATGAAACTACATAAAAAAAAAAACCACCCGAAACCATAAATAGATCTTGTAATCTTAGGACAATTAAAGGTTTTTTCAAAAGAAGTCGTTGAATGGAGCACTTTGCATAACCAACAGCAGGCCTTACTAGATTAGAACTAAGTAAGCTAGCCTAGGCCAGAGAGTCTGCCCAGTGTGAGGCCTTACCAGATTAGAACTCAGTAAGCTAGCTGCTAGCCTAGGCCAGAGAGTCTGCCCAATGTGCCTTTCCCCCTTCCATTCCATGCACTGCCATGCAATGTTGCACCCAAATACCTGTCTGATCAGACAGTTTGCTGAACTGATCCACCAGTATAGTCAGTTTGCATGTTCGCTTCATGCAATTATGCGGTGCAAAGGAATCATGAGAAATTAAAGAGCAGAACCAGATCAGCTCATAGCTAATTAAGGTATAATCGGGAACAAAGATCATAATTATTTACTCGAATAGCGAGAAACAAATCAAGAAACAAAGTGCGAGCCAGGTGAACAGTTTGTTTTGCAAAAATAAAGTGTCATCTAAGAAGAAACTGGATCTCATCCAAGCTACTTGGACTAGTTAACTCACAATCAACCACATGCACCGAGTTTTCTTCATCTGGTCTTAACACTAATCACCAGACAATAACTAACACTTCGATCCTTTCTACAAGGTCCATTCAGTTTGTCTCACCCTTCTACCCTTTGCTCTTTTCATTTTCTCTCACAACCAGTACTGTAAAACCAAAACCAAACTTGATGATGTAAGTTAACGTGGATGAGTAGGAAGTATGAATTATGCTTGGCAGCTTGGATTTGAGCGACAAGGCTCGCGGTTATCGTGAGAAGTTTTGCTGAGGGTTTGGAGGAATTTACACAATGAAGATATAGTGATTCACCAGCTCGAGAGCTCTGTTAATCCACTCTTTTAATAAAGGCTCTTGCTCATTTCGTTTTTATAATGAGGAATGGGGTTTACAGTATGCCTTTTACACCACTAGGGATTTTTGCCTCATCTTGGAGGCTTTGTACAGTATTTATAGTGCAATTTCAATTCCTAAGCATTCTTAGGAGTGATCTTAGCGGAGTCTTCCTTGATTTTTGGGGAGAAGATCTCGGTTGGTTGAGAGTTTTACGCTTGAACTCCAGCCCTGCTGTCATCCCACTGTTTCCTTATCCTCTCTGCTATTGACTTGTCTGGGGGGATCTCCAGCTCAGGTCCATTGAGCCTTGCTTATCTGGTCAGGCCTCCTGACCTGACTTCGGTTCCTAGGCTCATACTTAGCTGAAATTCCTTTTGGGTATCATCAGTTGCCCCCCAGCCCTTAGCCCAAGTGAACTTTTTAATTTTATTTCCTAAAATAGAAAAAATGGTTTATCAAAGTATTAAAAATTGCACAAAAATTATTATAAAACAAAAAATTACAATCTAAATATTAAAATAAAATGTAAGTATTGTATGAAGTCTAAAAAAATTGGCGGCACTGAATTAGGACTTTCAAATTATTTATTACTAATTTTTCAAATTCCTTCCTACAATAGAAAAAATGGGTTATCAAAACTTTAAAAATGGGCCAAAAATTATTTAAAAAAATAGAAAATTGAAATCTAACATATTAAAATAAAATGTACATATTGTCTAGATTCTAAAACAATTAGCGGCACTAAATTCGAACTCTGCTATGATTTCTTATTTATTTTTCAAATTTTTTCCAAAAATGGAAAAAAGGGATTATCAAAGAAACTAAAAATTGCACAACAATTATTAAAAAATAGAAAATTGCAGTGTAACTTATTCAAATAAAATGTATGTATTGTCTGGAGTCTAAAAAAAATTGGCGTGACTGAATTTGGACTTTGCTATGATTTATTATTAATTTTTTAAATTCTCTCCTAAAATAGAAAAAGTGGAATATTAAAGAACTAAAAATTGCACAAAATTTATTAAAAAATTAGAAAATTGCTATCTAACTTATTACAATAAAATCTACGTACCATTTGGAGTCTAAAAAATTGGCGGCACCGAATTTTGGACTCTTCTATGATTTATTATTAATTTTTTAAATTCTTTTCAAAAATAGAAAAAATGGATTATCAAAGTATTATAAATTACACAAAACTTATTAAAAAATAGAAAATTGCAATCTAACATATAAAAATAAAATGTACGTATTGTCTGGAGACGAAAAAAATTGGCGTCGCTGAATTCAAACTCTCCTATTAATTATTATTAATTTTTTGATATGTTTCCTCAATTGGAAAAAAGAGATTATCAAAACATTAAAAATTGCCCAAAAAATTATTAAAAGTAGAAAATTGCAATCTAATTTGTTAAAATAAAATCTATGTATTGTCTGAAATCTAAAAACATTGGAGGTGCTGAATTCGGACTCTACTATTATTTATTACAAAATGCAGTATTTCTTTCTTAAAATAGAAAAAAAAAAGAGATTATCAAAGTATTAAAAAGTGCGCTAAATTATTAAAAAAACAAAAAATTGCAATCTAACATATTAAAATAAAAAAGTAAGTATTTTCTCGTGTCTAAAAAAATTGGCGGCACTGAATTTGGACTCTGCTATGATTTATTATTAATTTCTTAAATTATTTTCTAAAATAGAAAAAAGGATTATCAAAACATTAAAAATGGCACAAAAATTATTAAAAAATAGAAAATTGTAATATAAATTATTAAAATAAAATATTTGTATTGTCTAGAGTCTAAAAACATTAGTGGCCCTAAATTTGGATTTTGCTATGATTTCTTATTAATTTTTCAAATTCTTTCATAAAATGTAAAAAGGGATTATCAAAGAACTTAAAATTGCAAAAAAATTAAAAAAAATAGAAACTTACAATCTAGCTTCTTAAAAAAAATGGATGTACTGTTTGAAGTCTAAAAAATTGGCAGCACTGAGTTTGTACTCTGCTAAGATTTATTATTAGTTTTTCAAATTTTATCCTAAAATAGAAAAAATGGATTATCAAAGTATTAAAAATTACAAAAAAAATATTAAAAAAATAGAAATTACAATCTAACTTATTAAAATAAAATGTACGTATTATCTCGAGTCTAAAAAAATTGGAGGTGCTAAATTCGGATTCTCCTATTATTTATTATTAATTTCTTTCTTTCTTTCCTCAACTGGAAAAAATTGATTATCAAAACATTAAACAATTGCCCAAATTTATATAAAAATAGAAAATTACAATCCACCTTGTAAAAGTAAAATTCACGTATTATCTGGAGTCTAAAAAAATTGAAGGCACTGAATTAGGACATTGCTATGATTTATTATTAATTTTTTAATTCTTTCATGAAATAGAAAAAATGGATTATAAAAGCAATAAAAATTACACAAAAATAATTGAAAAATAGAAAATTGCAAGCTAACTTATTAAAATAAAATGTACGTGTTTTATGGAGTCTGAAAAA